GCATTTTAAATGAACTCTGAAAAAGTTGAAAGTTGAAAGTTGGCATGGTATCATAATATCGTCTGTTACAAAGTTGGCATGGTATCATCATAACAGTTGCGGGAGAAAGTCTTCACTTTTTCTTCGCTTGTGTCATTTGCTTAATGCGCCGTAACCATGGATAATCTTCATCGTTTATCAGGATGCTGGGGTCAGCCTTGACTTTGAAGGGAGGAATTTCATGAAACTTTTCATAATTTTCAGACATGTCTGTCTTGCCACCCAGTCCCACGATGTCCCTTTTTTCTGAAAGAACTATGTGGCGCTTTGGCTCATCGTATGATGTATTCGCTTCCTTATCTTTTCTTTTTCTCGGTCTGGTAGACATGTCCTTCACATAGATAACCTATGCCACATCATTGGCTAGGACGAACGGTTCGTCAGTGTACCCAAGATTTTTCAGATCCACTGTTGTCATTCCGTACTGTGGGTCTACCTGTACCCCGCCTCCTGACAGATTGACCCATTTGCACTTAAACAAAGGAACCTTAAAATCATGTCCGTAGTCAAGTTCCCATATGTCCACTATGTAACCATAATACGTGTCCTTTCCCCTCTCGGTTGTTGCATCAAAGCGGACACCGCTGTTTTGGTTGGTGCTCTTTTTATCTTGGTCAATCATGTAAAATGTATTCCCATATATCTCGTATCCTTTCCAAATCGTAACAGTCGAAGATGGTCCCCTGGACAACAAGTACAACCATCACAAACAGTGTTGTCACCTCTGAGACGTGTTTCCAACCAACTGCTGAAAGTCCTGATGTGTTCACATGTAATCCAGTCGTCGCACTTCTCCCGGTGTTTTGAGCGCAGACTGTTCTTGTGTTCATCGACATACGAGGTCACCAAGGTAGAGTTCTGTAGACCTGTGTAGCGTGCTTGAGACCAAGAATATCCGTCCCTGCATATTATTGAGTCCCTTCCAAGCGTGCCTTTTCCAGTCAGTCTCCCCTCATACCGCGATTTAGGGAGACCTATCTTCTTAAGGCCAGGAATGAAGTCAACACAAAACCCGATGACATCCTCTGTTTGATGGCCCATGGAGATGCCTCCTTCTGGCCTAGCACGGTTACGGACATATTTCTTTAGGACTCTTATGAACCTCTCAAAGGGGTACATATTGTGTAGAAATACGGGGCCCAGAATGACAATCTCGTCGACTAGATGAACTAGGACGTGCATCATGATATTGAAGAACGATGGTGGGAACACCAGCTCGAAACTGACAAGACATTGCACCACATCACTCCTTAGCCTTGGTATGATTTCTGGATCGATCACCTTCTGAGAGATTGCATTGAGGAATGCACATAGCTTCACAATGGCTAATCGGACGTTTTCCGGTAGAAGCCCCCTCAATGCAACCAGAAGCAGTTGCGTCATAATCACGTGGCAGTCATGAGACTTTAGGTTCTGAAACTTTTTCTCTGCCGTATTTATTATTCCCTTTATATTCGACGAGAAGCCAGTCGGGACCTTCATACTAAGCAGGCATTAAAGAAGATTTCCTTCTCTTCTTTGGTAAGAGCATAGTTGGCAGGACCTTCATACTGCTTTGGAGGCATGCCGTCTTTTTCGTGCAGACGTTGCAGGTCCTCCCGTGCCTCAGCTGTATCTTTTGTCTTTCCATACACGCCCAAGAAGCCTAGCAGGTTCACGCAAAGGTTCTTCGTCACGTGCATCACGTCAATTGAAGAGCGGACCTCTAGGTCTTTCCAGTAAGGTAGGTCCCAAAATATAGATTTCTTCTTTCACATGGGTGTGTGTCCCCCAGCGTCATTCGGAACAGCTAGTGCGCTGGGACCCTTTCCAAAGATTACGTTTAAATCATTGACCATAGCAAGTACGTGATCACGGGTACACATGGCGGGCTTCTTCCGGTGATCTGCCTTGCCTTTGAAATGCTTGCCTTTCTTTCGGTATTGATGGTTGGTCGGAAGAAATCGACGATGACCCAGGTACACATTCTTCCTGCAGCTTCCCAGGTATATACTTTTGGTTTCAAGTAAACAGTGCGTGCATGCGTGGTATCCCTTGTTTGTCCTGAAAGGTTACTGAGAGCGGGCCAATCGTTGATGGTCACGAATAGCAACACCTTTAGGTCAAATTCCTCCAATTTGTGCTCATCCCACGTACGTACACCATTTCCATTCCATAGCTGTAAAAGTTCTTCAACTAATGGCCTTAGGTACACATCAATGTCGTTGCCAGGTTGCTTAGGGCCTTGGATGAGAACTGGCATCATAATGAACTTCCGCTTCATGCACATCCAAGGAGGAAGGTTATACATACATAGAGTCACGGACCAGGTGCTGTGATTGCTGCTCTGCTCCCCAAAAGGATTAATGCCATCCACGCTTAAAGCAAACCATACGTTCCTTGGGTCACATGCAAACTCAGCCCAATACTTTCTCTCGATTTTTCTCCACTGCGACCCGTCAGCGGGTGCTCTCAACTTCCCTGTCTTTCTTACAGTCCTCACTGTGCCATCGCATCAACTTGGCATGCTCTCCGTTTCTGAACAGACGTTTCAACCGTGGTATTATAGGAGCATACCACATCACCTTCGCAGGAACCCTCTTCCTGGGGGGGTCGCCGTCAACATCACCAGGGTCATCTCGTCTGATCTTATACCGTAATGCACCGCATACCGGGCATGCATTCAGATCCTTGTACGCACCGCGGTAGAGGATGCAGTCATTAGGGCATGCATGTATCTTCTGCACCTCCAATCCTAGAGGGCATACGATCTTCTTTGCTGCGTATGTACTGTCGGGCAATTCGTTATCCTTTGGAAGCTTCTTCTTCAACATTTTCAGTAGCTTCTCAAATCCTTTGTCTGGCACAACATTCTCTGCCTTCCACTGCAGCAATTCCAGTACGGTACCGAGCTTTGTGTTGCCATCTTCGCAATTGGGGTACAACCCTTTTTTGTGATCCTCTAACATGCGATCGAACTTCAGCTTCTCCTTTTGACTTTCGCATTGCGTCCTTGCATCGACAATGACCCGGTGGAGATCATCATCATCGGGCACATCGTCTGGTTCCTCTTGATCTGCAGCAGCTTCGCCCGTTGCAGCATCATCGTGCACATCATCTGGTTCCTTTTGATGTTCAGCATCACCGTATTCAGGGGGCACATAGTTGTCATCGTACTCTTCTTCTTCGCCGTCTTTCATCAGAACCCCTATTTCTCCGTGCCTCGTCCAAACATTATAGTGTGGCATGAAACCCTTGTAAAGCAGGTGGGTGTGAAGGATTTTCCGGCCAGAGTAAGACTTCATATTCCCACATATAGGATATGGACAACACATAAAACCATTCTGCTTGTTTGCCTCAGCCACTTCGAGAAAATCATGCACGCCCTTAATGTACTCGGAGGTGCGTATGTCACCATACATCCATTGCCGGTTCATCTGCGTGCATTATATATAATTAAGTGTGTCAGAAATCATTACAGAACATCATGAATAGATAAATAAGTGACCAAATTAATAGAAGTTCATTATCACATTAAAACCAAAGTACATACATAGTTCTCATCTTCAAGCGAAAATCATTATAGAACAACATAAAGCTCTGCAGAGCATCTAAATTAATTAAACCATACATTGAAACTATGTAAAACATTTCAATGCGAAAACAAATGCGATCATAATCGCAACCAAGGTAACAACTGATCCAACGGCATAATGATACCAAGCCTCGGTATGAATGGCATATTTTCTAATCTTTCTAATCTTCAAGCGCATTGCATCCATCTTGATCTTGTGATCATCAACGACATCCGCAACATGCAACTCCAATATCATCTTCTCCTCCTCAATTTTTCTTATTTTTTCCTTCAAGAAATTGTTTTCTTCTTCAACTAAATTTAACATCTCGACAATAGGGTCGGTTGGAATTTCCGGTTCAACAACCTCCTAGATAAATAAAATCTATGTCACGTTGGTCGGCATAATTTTCATAAACAATAAATGAACCAATAGTTATGAAAAGATAATATATACCACATCCGAATCATAGACAAGACGAGGGCCGACGGGGGCGGATACCAAAACCATCGCACTATATAAGATGCAATAATAAAAGTATGAAAATAACGCAAGTATCTATCTAAACATACAAGTAAGAATATTTTTCCTTTCAGAAAGAAGATAAAAACAAGAGGCTCACAACGGTGGTGCCGGCGATGAGATCCGCGCGAGTGATCGACGGCGGTGAAGACGGGTACGGGGCGGGACGGACCGCTAAACCTAGACAAATATTGAGGAAAATGGAGCTTGGAGGTCGAGCTTGGAGAGGAGAAAGCTTAAGTAGTGTGGCTCGGGCATTCCATCAAACACCTTGTGTGCACAGGAGGTGAGCTAGAGCACCACCGAGCCCTCTCCCCCTCGGCTGCCAGAAAAAACAGAGCAGTGTGCTCTGCTCTTACGCGAGGGGGTATATATAGGCACCTCATTGGTCCCGGTTGGTGGCGCGAACCGGGACTAAAGGGCAGCCTTTGGTCCTGGTTCGTGGCACCAACCGGGAACAATGGTGGTGGGCCAGGAGCGAGGCCCATTGGTACCGGTTCATCCCACCAACCGGGACCAAAAGATCCAGACGAACCGGGACCAATGACCTACGTGGCCCAGCCGGCCCCCGGGGCTCACGAACCGGGTCCAATGCCACCATTGGTCCCGGTTCTGGATTGAACCGGGACTAATGGGCTGACCCGGCCTGGACCAATGCCCCCTTTTCTACTAGTGCACATTGGCGGAAATCTTGAAATAGATGCAGCAATAATGCAAGCACCAGGACTTAAATCCTGGTGGGTTGGGATATCACTGTCCACGTGACATAGACTTGGTTAAGTCTCAGTCGACCTAGCCACACCCTTTGATTTATTCAATTCAAATTTATATAAATTACGAAAACATGGTAGAGCCGGAACCCATATTACGTTTGAATTGTTTCAGGCATACACCAGGTCAACGCGGAGGGGAACAGCGTCCTTCATCTGGCCGCGGAGCACGGGCACGACAAGCTCATCCATGATCTCGCAAGCTTCGGGGACAGGAGCTTGCTCTCTTCCCGAAACTCGACTCTAGACACACCTCTGCACTGCGCGGCGAGGGCGGGGCATGGCAAGGCCGTGTCCCTCCTCGTCCGGCTCTCATGCGAGGGCGGAGACGACAGCACCTTGTGGTGCAAGAACGAGGCTGGGAACACGGCCCTTCATCTGGCGGCGAGGCTCGGCCATGGCGCAGCAGTCAAGGCTATGGTCTCCGCAGCGCCGGGGCTAGCCTCTGAGGTCAACAACGCCGGCGTGTCGGCGCTCTACTTGGTGGTGATGAGTAGGTCGGCGCCAGCTGTCAGATCGATAACGACCAGGTGCGGCAACACGTCGGCTGCCGGCCTGAGCTCGCAGAATGCTCTGCACGCCGCCGTCTTCCAGGGCTCAGGTGAGCTAGCTAGCTAGGGAGCTTCTCCTTGATCCATGGGCTCTCTCAAAGTGCACGCAGATTTGCTAATCCTCGGCTCATACATCATATACCATCGATCTGAACATTGTCAGAAATGGTGAGGCTGCTATTGGAGTGGATGCTATGTATGTGGCCCATCCCTGGCTAGCCAAGCCGACGGCACCGGCAGCACTCCGCTTTATTTTGCTTCGTCCACCGTGACCACCTCTCCGTCGTAGGTGCCATCCTACGCGCCGTGCCGCCGTGCGTGGTGCGCATGCGGGACTCCGGCGGCCTCTCCGCTCTCCATGTCGCGGCGGGGATGGGCCACGACCGCGTCGCTGATCAAGGCCTGCCCAGACGCCGCCGAGCTCCGGGACGACCGCGGCGGGACCTTCCTGCACGCCGTGGCCAGGGGAGGTGCTGCTCCTCTACGGCATGGCGTCGCGCTCCGCCGGGTTGTGAAAGACCTTTGCGGCGGCCCTGTACTGCATGTGTTTGTCCCTGGTGAGCATGGTCCTGGCGTTCTACGCGTCCCTGGCCATCGTCACGAGCACGATAGCGGTCCGCGGCATCGCCTACTGGATCACAGAAAATGCGCTTTTCATCTTGTTAGCCGTGGTCTCGCACTTGGTCAGCCCTCGGGTGTCATTCCGCACGCTATCCAAGTACCTGTGGCGATGTGGCTCTGGAGGACGGCGCAGCATCGTCATGCAGCAATATCCACTCGTCGGTGCTTTCGTGCGCAACCTCATCCTGTTCAGGGTTGCAAATTATGTTGTAGTGGTTGTGGGTCTTAGCACGGTCTCAGCACTTCGGTGACCGTGCGGCATGGGAACATTTTATGTGAGAAGAATATTTTGAATATGCATAGGCCTCATGTATTTTAGTATAGTAGCAAAAGGGTGTTGCAACGGAATAAAAAAGTACCACGCGCTTTTAATTTACAAAAAATGTCTATAATTTAAGTATTTGTAGTTACGTCCCAAATAAAGAAAGGTGGTGTTTGCCTACAAAAGCGCAAGTTCAAGATTTCACATGTCTTATATTTAAACACGGCTTGCATGTAGATTTAATACGTACAAAGAAATAGGCAAGTGATCTTCAATTTTGTCTCCAATACTGGTTTTGCTGAGATGTTCATCCACAATCCGGATCAGTACCAATATAAAAGAAAGACGAATAATGCATTGTTGATTAAGATTGCACCCTGAATAGTATTTTTTAAATGTTTCATAGGTAAATATAACATCATATTCAGATTTTATATATTTTTCTAACCAAATTCCATATATAACATGTTAAATTTGGAGTTACGGTTTAAAATATATGAATATTTTAAAAAACTATGTACTGTGGGTTTGAGAAATATCCGGGGGTTTTCTATAAAATAGCTTGACGTACTAAGAATACATATTTCCTTTATTAATAGAACTAGCACAAATGCCTGTGCGTTGCAACGGAAAAAAAACAACAGTTCCTATTAGTGGGCCGGGTCGAGCAACTATACCATAAGACAATGAATGGATCGTTGATCGGGACATGCATGGGTATGATTTCCAGTAAATTGATTTGACCGAAGAGCTTAACTTTATTGTTAATTCATTCTTTAGATAACTATTGGTACATTCTAAAATTTAAAAGTAGAACATAAAATAAATAGCAATATCAACAAATCTAAAGTAATAGTCACAGCAAGCAAACCAATTGAGTGTGATAGTTGCAGTAAGCATCTATTCAAAAATAATAATGCAGCAAGCATAATCTGTTCATATTTTTTAGTTAGGAAATATTTTTTTGTGTGGAACTCGCATCAAAACGTCTTTTATCAGGAAAAAAATTATAGACACTTATCTTTTCTTGGAGGAATTCATATTAACATGTTTGATGCTTCCTGAGTTTGAATTGAATATGTAAATATATTCCATGAAAAAAAGAATTTGTAATGCTCGATACCCTGAACTGAAGCTATGACTCTGAATTCTCCCTCATGTTACTTCCTATGTTTATTATCTATATCTAATCCGTGCTTCTTTTAACTCAAAGAAATATAGCCAATTTAGTTCGCAAATGACACCAATATGACCAAATCATATGTTCAAGTCACAGTCAACCCCTCGTCTCCTACTATGCAACCACACAATTAGAGATGCGTACCAGAGCACTGAAGCGAACAAAAAAACCCCAGGGATGCTTCCTTCCTGATGCATATTGTTCTTGATGCCGAAGGACCATGGCTTGTGTAGAGAGCAGACCATCAGATAATTACGCACACCAAACCCAGCATGCTGGACACATGCCACGCATATGACGACGGGGACGCATGCAGCCGGCCGGCATGCTTTGCCACCCGAGTGGTGCACGTGAGCGAGCATCGCACGTCACGCTCACTGGACACAGTTACCGGACGCATGCGGCACACCAGCACAGCCGCTGTCCTCGTCAAACCCATCGTCTGCTACTAGACAACGGACGTCTCGGTCGTCTCGTCCTCGTGTTCCCTTCTTCCTCCTCTCCAATCGGGAACTGCTAATTCTCTCGAGAGATTAGGCAAGCACGTAGGCGACGGACGGTCCCGAGTGTTGCCAGAAAGCGCCACGGGGATCTGAGACTAGCTTCCCAACTGTTCCCAAGGTTTGCCGCCTAGCCCTCCTCTTCCACCCTTTTCGCTCACGGTCGGCAGGAGGGACAAAGCACCCTGTGGAATTTTCCTCATCGTATGCCTCCTCTCGTCCGATGGCTCCATCTGCTAGTCCACCTCTACCAACGGATTCACCTTTTGCCTTCTCTTTCATGAGCCCGTATTTATTGGAGTGTTAGAGACGACAACCAGGGTTGTGGAGATTGGTGTCTCGTGTAGGAAACAAATACGAGCGGGGAGACCGGGAGTGTTTGCGAACGAAAAGACTCCAAGTGGGCAACATATATAGGACAAAAAATATCACCTAAATGGGGCGGACAAAAACAACAATGCGGCACCGGATATATAGATTAGTACCACCTTGGATATAGAAAATAAATATAGACGTGTATTGAAGAAAGAGAAAGTGAAAGCGTAAATTCATGGAAAGAAACGTATTGTAACGGTGAACCCACGGAGTCAATCCGTACTTTATTATTAGGGAAAGATAGCAAAAAGGCCCGTGCGTTGCAACGGAGCCTATATATATTTGATGATTCAATATAATTCATGTCTAAATATACATAGCAAAAGAGTCCGTGCGTTGCAATGGGAAAAAAATATCTCACATGGTTCAAGATTTTAGGTGTCTTTTTCTAATTTTTTTTCACGTGGCCATAAAAGTGATTTCATGAATCTAGACTGGTTCTCTAGATTTATTTTCATAGTATAATTATTACATTTTTGATCTATGTTAATTTTGCATTGCATCATGTCATCGTGACATTTAATATACCACACCTTTTAAAAAACTATGAACATCTTCAAAATTTAATCTGAGCCCCCCTTCTATATTTTAAATTTAAGTGCTTTCCTTTTCCGTTCCAAACTTCTCCAAATCCTATGCATTTACTACTTGAAGTTTGCTCTCCAAACATTGCCACTGACTCTTGTTGCATTTACCCAAGCTCCACCAAAATTTCCATAAGTTTTGGACACTTCTAAAACCTAGACCTATTTCAAACCCATTTTAATTAAATTCAGATGATTTGGAATCTAATTGCCAAATCATGCCGACAGCCAATTTTCTTGGGTCACACATATTTAAAGGAAGATCCCCGCAAAAAAAAATCAAGGAAACAAAATTTATCCCTTGCACATATTCATCCCCTAACCCTCTCTATCTCATATCCTTATTTTTTGTAAAAGAAATATAAGAAGAAGAGCAGCAGCGTAGCCTAGCAGCTCGGTCTGCTCTGCAATCGGGCCACCAGCGGCCCATCTATCCAATCCCCTCGTCCTCCTCCTGGATCCCACTCTCCCTCGTTCCCCTCGAGAGACGCCTCTGCTAGTCCCGCCAGCGCCAGCGACTGCTAGTCCAGCCAGTGCCGCCATCTTCCCCCGCTCTGGACGGCGAGGCAGACCGCGCCACCATCGCGTCGTTCCTCGCGCCGCTGCTCTGCCACTCCTAGCGCCCTCCCGCAGCTCGCCCGAGCCGCTGGCTCTGCTGCACGCGGCTATGGACGGCCCCCGCCTCCGCTGGTCCTCTGCTCTGGACTCCCTCCTGTTAGTTCTTGCACACCGTTCCGATCCTCCAGACGCCTCCGCCTGTAATCCGAGGATCCGCGCCCTTCAGGAGGCCGATCTCCTGCGCAGTCAGGCACCCCCTTTTCCTCCCTGGCTCCTCTCCTCGTCCGTCCGCGCCCAGCCTCCCGCGCCTTCTCTTCTCTCTCTCTCTCTCTGGCCCCTCTCTCTTCTTCTCTCTGGTCCACGACCCGCCAAGCCAGCCCCATCCGAGCGACGGAAGGAACTGACGTGCGCACCAAGATTAGTATCACCTCGTTTATATTACGATTTTGTTTATACAAATCTTAAAAGCGTATTATGACATGATAAGAAAGCGTATTGTGACGGTGAAACAGACAAAGCCAATCCGTGCTTTATTATCTTTCCCTAATAATAAAGCACGGATTGACTTCGTGGGTTCACCGTCACAATACGCTTCTTTCCGTGATTTTACGCTTTCAGTTTGCACAAGCCGCTAACGAGGTGGTACTAAAATAACGTACATGTCCGATTTTTCTTTCCGGCACGTTATGGGCCAGATGGGTCGAGCTGGGCCTGCCTTTCTTTTCCCTTGTTCGTTGGAAGAATTGATCAGCGAAACAAAAATTGATCTCGATTGGAGTTCGATCCCAAGAAGCTCCGATCTGGTGAAGAAGGCAAGAACCTACTGAGACACGCACAGCTTTGCAACTCAACTGGGTTCACCGTGGAATAGTCCCACCTCGATTCTTTACTCCAAGTTTCATTGGTTTATATACGTTTTGAAGTTGACTATCAGCAAGCCTCGAGGACCCCAAAAGCAAAGGAGGGAAGGAAGGAATGAATCGAGAAAAGGGAGGGGCATGCAAGATGCAACGGGTGCACATGCTGTGATTGCGGGGCAGCAATGGCGGGACGAGGCAGGCGGCTCAGCTCGATCTGAGCGATTGATTGGTTGGAGCAGAGGAACGCTGGCGGCGGCGGTCATGGCCCGAATGGCATGG